TACATTCGGCTCAAGTATAACAAACTGAGAAAATGTAACATGCAAGTAGAAAGCAAAAAAATTTCTACATTCTACCGGAAGCGATATACAGAGAGGGAATTATACATTAATAATTATAATAATTGTAATGAATTAATCGTACTAACATTAAGACGTTGAAAAATCGAATTGCGAAACGTCGTGAAAAATATAGCGAATAAAATAAAATAAAATAAAACAAACTCGAAATAATAATAAATATATTATGTAAAACAGTGCTTGTATATTATACTATTTCCTGAATAAAGTAGATCTTTGCCTGGTATCTGTGTGGAGTGTATTGGATACACGTAGATGAAAGTAAGTACTGACACACACACACACACGGTAAAGTATAAAGCCGAAGCAACATGTAACTTGTAATTATGAATAACGCAAAAAGAGTGTTTGTTGATGATATATATTTTGTACATATTATACTATAAATACAGTCAAATTTTATTAAAGTGAAATAGCCGCGAAAGTGAAAGAATTTCTTTCGGTAAAGAGTTTACTTCTCTTTTCGTGCTGACACCCCATTCTTACGTGCCGCACGTTATAATTAATTCAAGTAAGTTTTTACGCATGCACAGTCAGCGCAAATGTACGATAGTGAGCAACACCGAGAGGAGAACTTAAGACTGATATTCATCGGTTCTTGTAACTCAAGAGAAATTCTCTCTTGTAAGAGAAAATTAAAGTATTACCGCATGTGTCAAAACCAAATGACACTTTTTTTGACAAGCTTTTCAAAAAATTGCTTTGCATAGTACGTAAGCAATCGTAATTACGAATATTAGTAACATTAATAGAGTATTCGATTTTGTGTGTTTAAAATTTCTGTTTGTCGAAACACACGAAAATGTGTAAGTCTGCAGTTCATTCAAATAATGATAAAGATCTCTGTTTGCTTGCTGTTGACGTTTAAAATGAGGAAGGGAGCGAAGAAGAGACAAAGTACAACGAAGGAAACCGAACTTACATAACGTTTGTTATCTGCAAAAAATGTTGCTTACGTAACTTTGTTGAGAAAAAGCAAAGTCGGAAAGACATGTCTGTTATGTACTAGTCGTTGCAATATTGTGGCAATTTATTAATTGAAACAGCTGAATAGTTCTGTGAACAATGTCGGCTAAAGGTAAGAGCACAACAATATAATTATGTAGTAAAGGCTTATTGATTGTGAGTCACTGCAAATTGTGACACCAGACAAATATTAATGAACACAGATTAGATGTATAAAACAGGTTATTTTGTACATTAATAGTAGAAATATATCTATATATATATA